CTCAAGAACGGGGTGTGTTCGGGGGACTTTACGACCGCGTCCGAGTGCAACACGTTTGCCAGCGCCAAGTGGTGCGGCGCCTAAGCGCAACAAGGTCTGACCAAAAGGCGCGTCCGCTTCGGATGCACAGTCGAGCGTCCAACGCGTGGTCAGCCAGCAATATGTCTTTAATGTACCTCAAACAACGTTGTTTCTCGAGATCGACAGTGCACTCATACGATAAACTTGGGCCTTGCGATTTTCATTAGCGTTGTTGAAGGTTTGGCCTACTTGGTTCTCTAGTCGAAAGGACAACTAGTCGATTGCGACTAGAGTTGAGTTTTGGTATGTGCAATATGAGATATCTACGCTACAATTTGCGATTGTCTGTCGTGTCCACGGTGGGACAGGCGCAGTAGCTCGATGTCAACTCTCGGCGGGAACAGCCTGCCGGCAACGAGCCAAGGATCGTTCTGATCTTTTGGAGCGACGTCATTTTTCGTCTCCGAGGCTAAAACGCAAGTGGGGGGACGAAGTTTGTGTTGGGAGGCCGCTGCCGCCAAGGAGGGACTGATGCGTGGGTTAACAAGCGTCGAGTAGCTAGGAGGCTTGGAGTTAAACGAGCAAATTGCACATGGGCTTGCTGGCTTGGTCTTTGATCATGGTGGTTACGCCTTGCAGAAATAGGCGAGCTGACTGCGCTATCTGCTTGAGGTAAATGGCGGTCCGGCGAAGCGGCTGAAGATGGCGCACTTGCTTGGCCTTGTGCGTTTCTGTAAACAATCACTAGACGGTTTTTAGAGTACGTTCGACGCTACCGAGGCTATCGAGGGCTACAAGAGCAATCAAACTTCGAAGTACAGCGGAGTGGAAGAAGCTCAGGACGCGACGCTTGGTGCCCAAAGGCGCTACCGTGACTAGGCGTTGCCATGATGCTGGACGCTCCTCAAGAATACGAATGAATGCTCGTTTAGTCCAGACGATGATGTGGAAATCTCGTGAAGTCGTTGCCTCTGGGCACAGCGCCCGATTCTGCCGCGACACCTCGGCCCAGACCTCCATCGCAATCTCTCGTCGAGTTTGGCCGAGACGCATTTTTGTACCCGTGACCAAAAAGGTTGCAGCTGCCCACAGTTCTAACTTTTGGTTGAGACCAGGCGCACCACGGACGAGACCCTCGTGTGCTCTGTGGAAGAGGCTCTGCGCGATGGTCTTGTGCTGCCAAGATCGACGAGGCCATGGTCGACTACGTCGTCGAGCTTGTGCTGGCGGCCTCGGACAAAGCCTACACGACGACGATGGTCAAGCCACACAAGAAGAAGGCGGTGCCGCTGGAGCCGCATGTAGTACGAGCGCAGTGTCTAGCCTCTGCTATTGAAGAAACGCTCTCGGACGCACAGCCAACGCTGGAGCAGCGTCCTATCGACCACGCCGTCGCCCTTCTTTTCCGTGCGGGTGCTCGCCCACCACCACGTGGACATTGGCTTTACAACGCGCGCCAAGTTTGAGCCCAACAAAGGCCACGAGCTGCACCCGGGCTTCTTCTTTGGCTGCGAGCGCGGGTACTCGTACTCGGAGCACGAGAAGAAGCCGTTTCCCAAGCAGCGCGGGAAGCTCGTCGTCACCGCGTCCTTCAACCATGCGGCGCGCGAGATCTCGTTTGAAGTCAACGGTCAGATGCTCATCTCGCCCTTTTGCCTCGTGCCGACGGACGCGCCACTCTACCCGATCGTGCGTCTCGGCGAGCGCGAGGCATCGGTTGAAATGACCGGCGGGCACTGGTGCGAAGACGTCTAGGCCGTCGCAGCGACCAATAGACATTGAGATTAGTTGTAAATACACTCGATACGAATGGAACATTGTGTCATTTCGCCGTGTTGACAACGACCGTAGGAGCGAACGATGTCGGAATCGAGCTGTCGGAACCTTCGAGACGCTAAAGCCGAGGTGCGGTACTACAACGCTGGCGTGGATTGCGAGACCCGTGGTGGGAGCTGATAGCGAGGGTGGATGTTTACTGCCTTCCAGCGCTTTGATGTGGCGGCGTTTG